AATAAAAGGAGAAAAGAAGAAAAGAAATAGAGAAAGAAGAGGAGCGAAATACAAACAGAACAGGAAAAGTAGAGCGAAAGGAAAGGAAAATGGGGGAGAAACGAGGGAAAACTGGAAAAGGGAGACGGGGCAAGGCCACCGGGAGCTGGCCGACAAACCGTGGGAAAGGGGGCGAATATGGCTGCAAAGAATATAACCAGCGAAACAAAAACCGTAACAATCTATAGATGTTTGCGTAGTAGCTCCGATCGTTCGTCTTACCTTCGGTGTTCTCATCCTCGGTCGACTTGGCCGATTGTAGCTTCGCGCTCGCTTGCGTCGCTGCAATCAAAATTCGCAGCTGGCTGACACCGTGTGTCTCTTTTCTTTCACCCTTTCACTCGTTTCTCTTCCCTATTCCCCCCTGTTGCCTCGTGTCCCGTCTAATCTCCCTCTCTCATGCGGTTCCACCCACACATGCTTCTCCTCTATTTCTCACGTGAGTCAACGAGCATATCCACAGACGCATACGCACGGTACACACGCTCCGATTCGCCGTGTACGTATCTGTACATCCGGTGTTTCCGGTTCGCTTCACTGGGATCCTCGATTTCGGTGACACTTCGACTGCCGAATCATCCGAATGCAATTCTCGCGTGGATTCCGAAGTGAATTTTGAGTCTATCGGCTGTTAATCCGTCCATTGAAGATTAATAAGCCACGTATAAGGATTTTTCAATGAAACTTTTGATGAGAATAGTGTTACGATCATCAACCAGGAGGTTATATTGAATAACACGATTTAACTACTGTTTAACCCTTCCAAACGACGCACATCGTCAGGTTTGAAGGGGTTAAAGACTATTCTCCAAAGAAAATCATTAGACCGCTCTACGATACAAGATTACAGGCCACTGGAAAGCCTATTAACCCCTTGACCTATGACTCCTTTCATAACTACTCCCAGTTCACTTGATACTTCGGAATTAATCATTCATCGGAAACAAAGGAGGCTATTTTTAGAAAGGAAATCATACTTTAATTGCGAAAAGAAGAAATCGGGAGTGATTTTGACCCGTTCGGTAGTTTGAGTGTTAACCCTTTGCACTCGGAAGTTTTTCACTGGAAATATTTGAACATTTTGATGAGATAAAGACGATATTTAGTGAAACTAACTTGAATCACGCGTACATTGAGGAACAAAGTTATTTTATTTCAATATTTCTCAAATAGATCATAGAAAGTAAAATATTAAATATCAAATTTCTTACTATTTATTATACTATATTACACTATATTACACTATATCATTATACTAATATTACTATATTAAATATCAAATAGTTTCACTGTACGAAATCGAATGGCGAGCGAGAGTCGCCTCCGAGTGCAAAGGGTTAAAGGAGCCGTTTGTTTCAGCAGCCGACGTGTCAAACCGAGCCGGAAATCGCAGAGCCAGATCCACGTTGATCGCGTCGGTCCGGCCGACTCGTTGCCAAATCGAGCGCGCGATCGTTCGGAACGCTTCCCTCCGTGTTGTGTTCGTTCTTTTCTCTTCCCGTTTCGCCCGCCGGCTATCCGATACCCGATAACTGGTGTCCGCAGTCGGTAATTATCATCGCGCCGTTCCGCGCTCGTTACTCCCGAAGCTGACCGCGCGCCGCCGAGGCTATAGGGGATTTAATTTAGGCTTCGGCCGGACGCCGGTCGATCCCGATTGCTCCGTTCGCGAAACTATGCGCTTCGAATTGCTCGCTGCGACAGAGAATCCTCCGAGAGACCGGCGAATCCGTCGCTACCCGATACTCCACGCGGCGATCGGATAGCTCTGTGACGAAGAATATTCCGTCGCGGGGCGAAACGACGCGGAGTTCCCACTCCACGGGTCGATAGAGAGTTTATCTAGAGATTTCGACTTTCGAGATGAAGGGAGGCGTGTCGGGAAGTGGTAACTCTGTAGTTCGAAGCAGAGTGGTTTCGTGAATCAAGGGTGAACTGTACAGATATGATAATGGAACTTGCGTGTTATGCTGGGAACGTCAGTAACGATGGATATTATATTATCGAGAAATATTAAGTATTTTTAAATATTCATTCGGAGATTAACAGAATTTTCCAGTAGACCCAACAGTAGCTTTATCGATGTCGAAGGATCTCAACGTTTGAACAAGAAGTTGTTTTCTAAGCTTACAGACAAATTAAACGAATGAATTAGGTAAAGATAAATCTGAGATGAAGATAATTATCGATAAATATTGAGTATTTTTAAATATTCATTCGGAAATTAACAGAATTTTCCAGTAGACCCAACAGTAGCTTTATCGATGTCGAAGGATCTCAACGTTTGAACTTGAAGTTGTTTTCTAAGTTTACAGACAAATTAAACGAATGAACTATCTTTATCTCCGATTTATCTTTAGCTAATTTATCTTCATCTCAGATTTATCTTTAGCTATGTATATTGGATCATCCCACGAAAAGTGCAGCTGTTAATACTGCTTCAATTTTCCAACATTAACACGAATAAAGTCGTTTTCGATCCGAAATATGTTCTTTTAGTATCTACAAAGAATATACTTCAGATTCGAACAGTTTGCTATTTATTCGACCACTGTGCTTCGTTATAGGAAACGATCGGATGTCAATGGCGGGAGCTTTGAACCGTGGTGTCCCGATTGCACGCGACTCGTAGCGTTTTCTCTTGCAGCATCGGGGATAAGATGAACACTTGCGCCTCGCTACGCTGGGTCGTCTAGGCGAGAGGTGTCTACTACTCGATTAAGCGTAGGACGTTCATACAGACATCGGTATTAAGAAAGAAACAGGAAAAATTCAGAAACCAGAGAAAGAAAAGTGAAGTTTCACAACATCGACGCTGAGTGGACGTGTTGGTATACGTGTGCTCGTGTAGCTGTGTGTGCGCAGGGGTGCGAACTCGGTTCCTTTAAATTAACGAACTACGAAGGAGACTTGTAAAAATGTACTCGGGAAACATAGTATCCGTTGAATTTAGAAATTTTCATGGAATAATTCGTTTTCTCTGTCTTTTTTTAGCAAATCCTCTTAACTGGGGTAGCATAATTCCATTTTATCCCCGTTTCCCAGCGAGGCGAATGTAAATCCCTAGTCTGGATCCGAAATTCTAGAACTGGGGGTGTAACGTTGTATTCATCTCAAATATTAGTGACGTTGGATCATATAAATTTGAATTGTTAGTCTAGCTAACGTTGAAAATTACTGCGCGACGGTTAAACCAGTTGACTGTGAAATTTAGTTGGAAAAACCTCTCGTTCCGCGCGCAATAAAATAAAAAAATGGAGCACGTATTCATCGAACGCAGGACGAATGCGCGTAGAGTATATTTTAATGAAAGATCAAAGCGAAACAGAAGAATTACGTGTTATGTGAAAAAATAAAGAATTCTTTGAAAGAATTAGTATCAAGCTTTACGATGACGTGTATACTCGTCGAACACAGTTAACTGGTTAGCAAAATCGTAAGAGTTGAAAGCTTCGTTAACAATGTTACGAATGAATGATTAGAAACAAAGATCGAATATTTTATTACGCATAGACAATTTCTAGCTTTCATTAGACATTATTCATTTCACGTTTGATGTAGTTTAAATTGAATCGACCTTGACGAAGCACGAATAATTTTAGTCTCGAGAATGTTCCACCCTTAAATTGAAGAACCTCGCCGCACCCCTGTGGTGTGAATTCGTGTTGGGTTTCGAGTACAACGAGTGGACACGTAGCGAAAGAAAATATTATACATACTTATGGGAGGTATGAGAGTTCACTTTTGGTGAGACGTGGCGTGGTTGTGAACCGGGGGTGAAACGTGACGACAGAGCGTGTGCGATATATCGAGACCACGCACAGGGTGTCTCGGGAATTGTCGCGCGACCGCAAACACGCCGATTTCTCGCGCAAAATGGAAAACATCGAGTTTTCTTTTATTAAAGCTTCTGGTAAGTAGAACAAGCAAGCGATGTGTCGGACGTGGAAGTAGTATATACTGTATTTGGTTTACTGGGAGATAAAACGTCCCAAAATTCCTTCTCTACTGAAATCATTATGGTGAAATTGAAATAATCATGGTAGCTATCCTAATAAAAGATTAATAGTAAATCAATACAAACAGATAATCTATAGATGATCATAGTAAATATTACAAGATTGTTGTAATAAAGTAATAAATTATTATAGTACAATACATTAATGATAAACAGAAAAATAGACAATGCGAAAAACAATTTTGAATTTATCCTTCAAATTTTGAGAGTCTATGAAGTTTTCGAACAGTTTTCAAGACTTTTAACATTTTTGCCCGAGAAATCACCGTCTTCCGGTTTGCGCCGCGACTCCGGAAACACCCCGTGTACACGTACGAATGGTAGCACGATCAGAGTAACAGTCGCTAAACACCTTTAAGACACTACAAAGGAAACGGAAGAGCATGAGAAACATGAGAAAAAACAGGTACAATGTTCGACGACGATGAAGAATCGGTGGGAAGACGAGCGTGAATACGTTCCCCCAGTTTTCCGCGTCGCTCGGGGAAGCACGCGCCGCGGAAAATCATCCGACGCGTCTTGCTCCCTCGATTCACGCGCGCGTTTCGCGAATTCAGCGAATTCTCTCCTTTCCTTTCCGATTCTCGCGTTTCACGGTTCACCCGGCATCCGTGTAGAATGCAAACGAGGCTGGTAATTAACACTGGACCTACTGGACGTCTCGAAATGACCTGATTCTTTCTTCCACTACGGCCAAACGGCAATTAAACTATATTATCATGAACCGCAAAATTTATTCTTTAAATGTATTACAACATTTGCGCCTGTAGCCAATAAAAGGGAACGATAGAGTACATCAATGGCTTCTTTTTACACTATATCATTTATCTGTATAAATTTCTTGCATTTCAATTTCACTAAGTTGCATCGAATATCAGAGAATCTTCGAGTGCAGAGTTGAAGAGGTTAACACTAGGTTTACGGAACGCGTCAGTTCGACGCAGATTGAATTTTATAAACATTATTTGGTAAATGTTTCAATCGGTTTTCGTTGATCCAATTACACTGTCTATTTCTACATCTACAATTTCCAAAATCTAAATGAACGAGTATCAACTTCTCCAGGAACAATAGAATAAACTGTACAATAAATGCCCGTGAACCTAGAGTTAAACAATGCACAGAGTAAAATACAAGTCGAGCGAAGCCCGGACAAATTCAACGTTACAATTTTGAGAAAACTGGGAAAAATCTCGACATAACAACCCGGTAGTTCCAGTGTTAATCAAAACCACGGTGAAACCGTCCTCGCGCGAGGAACCGAGCGAGCCTCGGATTCCTCCTTGCGAAACGCGCGCGTTGCTTCCCTTTTGTTCCGTTCTTTCCACTTTTTCCCTTGATTCCTTTAATCACGCTCGCGGCACGGTAATGCGACGCTAACGAATTTCGCCGGAGACGATTAACCTCTCCGGCCAGCGCGGCATGAATGCCTGAGCAAAGCAAGTCGGGCCGCGTCCGCCCGGGAAAATCCGATTTTCCCGGTTCCAATTAAACTTCCTTCGCGACCTTTTGCTCAGACAACACACCTGGCCCGACTACGCCACCGTGTAGCTACCAGGCTATCGTACCGATTCAAAACACTGATGAGGCTAGATCCGTGAGGAGGAGAACGCTCCCGCGAGCTGTTCAGCGCTGAGCGGGGCAAGCCTTCGAAAAGCGGAACAGCGCCGAATGTAAAGCGAATCGAACGGATTCTCGACTAATCGATTAAAACAGTATAGGATGAAACAGGATCCACCGTAACGCGATTGAAAAATTCACGAAAATGATGAATAAAATGATATTCTTCGTAAATAACGTAGATTGAACTAGTGTCGAGGAACAGATGTCGATGAAATTCAAGCGAAATTTAACGAATGTGACGTCTCTGCAACGTCGAATTTTTTAATCGCGTTATCTATAGAACTAGTGTGTTATAGTGTACCTTGTTTAGAAGCGTACTTTCCTTCAGGCTCTCAATTTATCCGACATTTCGCCCGACCAAGTCGAAAATCGCCCTCGGGACTCGTAATCGACAGTCCGCGGTTTCTTCTTTTACTCGCCGTGCACTCGCATTTTCGCGGTTCCGACTGTTTTACATTCATACCGAGTCCCCCGGAAGATGAACAATTCGCGTGCCGTGGTTTAATTGCGACGTTGATTGGGTATTATGGTAGCAATTGGCAATTTATCGGGACTCTTATCAAAATGGAACGCCGCGTTCGTCGTATAATAAAGAAGCGTCGCATGTCGCGATGAAATAAAACATGAACAGTGGACGAACAAAGGGTTAAGTAGAGGGTTCCGAGTTTGAAAAATGGTACGCCGAGGTAATTCGTGTACAATTCGGTCGGCGGAGAGCGAAATTCCGAAAGGAGCGCGGCGGACGGGCAAAATGGAAAATTAGAGAGCCGAAAGCTGTTTGCCCTCCGTTCGTTTCCGCTGTCGCGGGTTCGAGACCCGACTCGCGCGGAACAGCTCGCGTATAATAGATGAAGAAACGTTAACAAGAGTCGGGGGCTAACTTACTCGAGGTCGGCGGCGGTTGCGGCGCTCGGCGAACAACCGTATGCTCCTGGTGCGGCCCAGTGTACTCGTGCCATGTGTACGTGCTCCTATACTCTGAATGGAGCTGCTGTAACACAGAATGTCGGGATAACGAGTTAGCTCGGAACGTGTCAGACGTGTGGCATTCATTATTATTTATGCGATTACACGCTTTGATAAGGGCGCACGGGGAGACGTGAATAGGGGCGCAAATTTATGGGGTTCGTGCGGAAGTTTCGAGGTTCTTTCATCAAAAAGTAAAAGGCGACAGTGTTATATTATTGTTATTAGATGAGAAGTAATACTGTTATATATAAAGTAAGGTAAAATTATGTTAAAGTAATAGTATATATAAAGTAAAGGTGTTTAACAGTAGAACTACCGAGCATTTGATACGATTGAAACGTAATCGCTATGAATATTGTAGTAATAGATTATTTTCAATTTCTTCAGACATTCATTATAGTACTCAAATGAAACTATTTTCAAAATCATTTCGAAGATTCAATGCTTCGAAGGTATCAATAATTGCTAAACAAAAAAATCGAAACCAGTCATTTTGACTGGTAGTTCTAGTGTTAAAATAGTTTTCGACTGTTCGCTGGCTAAACCAACGGTAAACAAAAACGAGGAAAGTAGTGTCCTTGATACGGATTATAATAGTTCAATTAATATTTTAATTTGCGCGTTGACGTAACGTTCTGACGCAGCCAAAGGGTTAATCTCTAGTACAGAATTTCGTGAGCCTTTCACAAAGTTCCAGAGAACTCTCGTGGAAAAGTGACACGCGAACAAACTCTCGAACAGCAGAAGAGCAGAGAGACGTCGATCTCGTTATTCGAGCAATCAAACTGCTCGCCGGCAGTTCTCGATTTTAGACATAGACTTTTCATCCTCATTAATCACCTGCACCGAATAGCCTGGCGCCGCTCCAGCGACATGAAATACGACACCGTTACGATCGTCGCCCGAACGGACGCAAGAAACTGAAGCATATCGATAAAAATCCGGCCCGATTAGATCGAACCGCGTCTGCGGGTGACAGGAACGTTCATCCGAACACTTCGAATAAAAACCAGAGGCATCGTCGCCATTGTCGGGCCGGCCGC